CCCCCCCGTTCGCGGAGAGCACCCCGCTCTTCTTCATGCAGCCCCGGGCTGTCCCGTCCATAAGCGTGCCGGAGGTAGAAGGTCGACAGCACCCCCATGCGGGCCGCCGTCTCCACCGAGTCGGCCCTGGGCCCCCGAGGACCCCTTGGCTTGCCCTTGTCGGAGCGCGGCTTCTTCTTGCTGGTGGCCTCGAGCTGCGCCGCGTCGGCTAGGATCCCCTCCCCGAATTTTTGACGGAGCTCGTCTAGGCCGTCGAGCAGCGCCTCCAGGTCGTTGTCCCGATCCCAGCGGGCACCCGCTCTCAAGTCGCCGGCGGCGGTGACCGAGGCGTCGCCGGGCTCGACGCACGCGCCGCTGAGGCGTCCGGGAGTGGCGACCGGCCGTCTCGCCTTGGCCTCCTCTCTCGAGGGGGGGGCAGGGCGCCGTTTCCTTGCCGCCGACCTTGCCTCCGCCCCCGCCTTCGACGGGGCGGCAAAGCGCAGCGCTCTCGCCGCCATCTTCGCCTCGAGTGTGGTTAGAGCGAGGACCTCGACGACGGTCTGAACTCCAAATCCGTGGCACTCAAGTGGTGGCTCGCATGCGCAGGCGAGGTGGAGGCGTCCCTTGGCGAGCAGCTGCGCGGCGGCGTCGCGCAATGCCTTCATCACCTCGTGGGGCGGCGGTGGCGAGTCCATGATGGGGAGCGGGCCGTCAAACCCCATTTCGTCGCCGACCTCGGCGGCAACGCCCCGGAGGAGCCTCGAGTAGTCGGCGGTGGGCGGGCACCCCTCGTGGAGGAGGGACTCGAGCACCCGTGACGATGCCGTGCAGACGGCTGTCCGCACCACCTCATCCCCAAATCCGCGACCCAGAAGAGGTCCCATCGGAAAGACGTTACCGAGCGGGTTACCGCGCCGAATGTGAACGTCGACCCCGCGGCCGGAAGGCCTCCCCACCGAGACCACAAGGTCATCGAGTGGCTTGAGGCGCTCCAGCCGCGCGTCGAGGTCGCTTGGGGGAGATCCGCTCGCTGTCGTCGCCGAGGAGGACGGGGCCGAGGCGCCGGCGTCCGCGGGTAGGCTGGCGGCCCGTGCCGCCATTCTGGCCGTCGGTTGCACGTGCGCTCCTCCTCGAGACGAGTCCTCTTTCCCGAATTCTCGACGTAGCTCGTCTATGCCGTCGAGCAGCGCCTCCAGGTTGTTGTCCCGGTCCCTGCGGGCGCCCGCTC